TCCAATTTTAACGGATGTCCCGAAGGACTTTGCACCGGCCAGCGCCCGCTCGACAGCCAGCCGGCCTGAGGGCCCTTCGGATGGAACCAGGTATTTGGATGGTTCGATTAGTTTTTGCCCCTATACCCAAAGTCCGACGAATGATTTGCACGTCAGTATCGCTGCGAGTCTCCACCAGAATGCCCCGAGGACCTAGCCGGGCAATGCCCCGCAGCTCTCCCAACGGGTGTCACACCCTTTTTTTTTTTTTTCCTTCGGCATTCCGTACATGTACCCGGCCCGGATTCGTACCGGATTCGCCTTGGTCTGCGCTTCAGCAGTTCAGGGGCGTACTCACTGAGCTAGGCTCTTGGGTGCCTGCTACATCCACGACACCGCGCTTTAAGTAAAACAACGTCGGGCGCGGCTCCAGCGTAGTTTCAAAACCAGTTTGCAATTGCACTTCAGGCACCCCGCAAATACAACACACTCCACGCGACCCTGCCGCCGTCTCACGTCCCCGACCGAGATGCGATAAAAATAAATTTACCTGGGGACAGCGAGCCAAACAGAGGGGGATAGCCCTACCGAGCCCTCGACCCCTCGGCTTCCTTCGCGTCACTCCGCTGCTACCGCGCTGATGCCCGCCGGCCTCGATCCCCGTACCGTCGCAGTGTCAGTCCAATGTCATAACCTATAGGGCTAAGCCCAAGCCTGGCACCAACAGGCACATACCTCCTAATAAAGAGGTAGTCCCTGACTCTTAGGGCCAAGGAACCGCCTTTGGCCGCTTCTCGGCCCGCGCCTGTAGGCATGGCCGCCGAAAAAAAGAAAAAGAAAAGAAAAAACTCGCGCCAGCCCACCGACCGTGCCGCGGCTACCCCTATTTAGCCGTATCCATCACTGTCGATGTCGTCGCCCTCGCACACGTGCTCGCCTCGGTCAGACATACCAATCAACAAAAAATATCTCAAAACCCTGCTTGATCAAAAATAAAAATAAATATTAATAATATTATTAACCAATGACCAATGTTCGCTGCCGGCTTTATGATAAAATAACAGAAAAGAATCACGCGCGCCTTAAACCTGCGCGCCCACACACTCGCTATTACGGTCAACCTCCCTGTCAAAGCAATTACTTACGCAGCCGCGCTTAGCGCAATATACTTAGACTCTAGACCAAACTATTTTCTGTCACTTGCAAAAACGAGGCCGGATACCCTTGTAAGGGTATTCGCACTGACAGCCTACCGAACCATGTTAAGCGACGTCCCCGTCGCTTCGCCAAATCAGAAAGCTATAAATCCATCCACATTCTAAATGCTGACGAAACAGGAGCCAATCCGATTAGCCGACAAACACAGGGTAGAGACCTTCATCAAACCATACCTTCATAACTATATGCTGCCAGGTTTCTAACCTGGGCCTCACACCGTCCAGACATTAGGACACTGGCAGCACAAGTTCCAAAGACCTTCCCAATCGTCCTTTCCCCGGTCCTAGACAACCTTCGGCTTCTCGTTGGGTGTCCCTAGTCCTGACAAAAACTAGGGACGCGGGCTTTAACCGAGACCTTTGAAGGCACTCTCGCCTTCCTTCTCAAAATCTCTCGCAATCAAATACATATAAGTATATATGTAAACTTAATATCCACTCCGCTCTTTCTCCAGTCTAGTACAGAAAGGCTAGGTCTCCATCTTGGCCCACCATAGCCTGGGCCTACCGCATTGTTATTTAACGGCAGTACCCTCGTTGGTTACGCAACGATAGGGTTTCTTCTGATAGGCACTCAATCAGGATTTTCCCCAAAAATTTTCAACCATCATTATCCCGTGGAGTAACTTCACTGGGGCGGGCAACCCCCCTTAAACTCTTACCCCGCGGTCCTGCAGCCAGGTTGCGCCGGCTAGCAGCTATCGAATGGGGTTACGCCCTAGAGGTACTAACTTCTTTTCCGTTAGCTTGGCCTTTCTTCAATATGTCTCAGAATTAGCACTAGTGGTTAAACGGGTGCGTCAAAACAAAATCACAGGCCCACTGCGCGATACGCAGGGGTCCGAAGGCATTTACCAGCCCTCCTTTAATAAACATGGCCTCCTTCGCACGCTTACAAACAAAATCACCGCTAAATCCACCAGGCCGTGACCCCTGACTTGATCAGAGCCAGCAGCCACCCACCCTGAGACATCTCTCGCCTTGTAATCATTGCGACTTTCTCAAATATTTCAAACAAAAAGTGGCCCCTTTCCGTCAGACTTTATCACCCATCGAACAACTCGTCATGCCATAAATCAATTTACTCACTTCTGAGGATGAGTCTTTCAACCAAAAAACCACTTCCCTTTTCCAACAATCCACAAGGGACACTCTTCATAAACAAAACACCCCCTCTTCCAAAAATCGTGAGGGGTCTCGCCATAAAACAATACATTCCCTGTTCTAGAAATCACGAGGGTCTCATCATAAACCAAACACCCCCTCTTTTCAAAGTCACGAGGAGTTTCGTTACATCACAAAACATCATAAAACATCCCCCCTTTTCCAAAATCTAAGGGGGTCCCATCATAAAACAGAACATCGCTGACATACCATCTTATGGGTCCTCATCACAACTCAGATAACTTTCACAGACGGACTGTGCTTCCTCTCCTTATACTCTGCCTTATCAGCTGCCGTGGGCAGGTCGCACAAGTATACTGAGGAGTAGACAGTTTTACCTACAATCAGATTCACAATACTCAAGATACATAAAAGGTTTTTCACATATTGTCCACACAAACTCATCATACATCAGAGTACAACCACACATGTGAGAAAGACAAGTGATCGTCACATATAAGAATGGTCCCTGAAGGAAACCTTATCATAATATACACTCAGGGAGTACAATGTCTCACACAGAAAGTGTCCCCAAATCATAGCTTGTTCAACTCAAGCCATACCAAACCCACACTGACAACTACCCCTAAAATACATGTCAGATCTGTCTCTCAAAGGCCGGGCGTAGGCCACCTAAATATGTACATGCCTCATCTAAACCACCCTGACCCTCAAAACCCCAACTCAGCAGAAACACTAGAGTTCAGATCTAAATTAACAATAATCATCAAAATGTCTTCTAAGTCTAAGAGAGTATCACACAGAACCTAAGTTGATGCCTCACAAAATGCTCGCTCGCTTATATAGACAAAGCCGGCCCTACCTCCTCAACTCCTCCTGGTTTTGCCTATATAACTGAACCCTAAGTCCATCTGCGGACTTCTCTACTATCCTACCCTGTCTATCATACATTTTACCCCCTACCTCTGAGATCTTCCCTGCTGCCTTATCCTCAAGAAACTCGAGACAGTCCAAAGCATGATGCGCGCTCCTCTTGCAGTAGAAACATAGTTGATCAACCTTCCTCTTGAACTTCTTCTTCCTGGGCTGAGGAGGTGGTGATGAAGGAGATCCTGCCAAGGTACTGATAACCCCCTGCTGCTCTGCTTGAGGAGCTGTGGTACTAACGACTTCCTGCTGCTCTGTCCCCGGAACTGGTCCACCAGACCCAGATCCAGTAGCCCAAAATCCTAGTCTGTCTCTCAAATCGTCTATCGCTGGAACGTACTTGGGCGTGTCCAACCTCTGAGGCCTCCTCTCGAGTGCCGCCCCTGGCACTGCCGTGGGCTGCTCCTCAATCTCCTCTGGTCCATACTCAGGTGTGCCTATCCTCTGGAGTCTGCCCTCGATGGCACTCTCCTCCTCAATCCCCATCTCTCTCTCAAGAGGCTCCTCTATCCTCTGCTCAGGTGAAAACAAACTCACCTCCTCCTGCATAGTATGCACCGCCTCAAGGAGCACGCTCATGGATCCGTCTGCCGAGCCCTGAGCCGGCTCACTGCTAGATGGTGGCAGCCCCTCCTCTACTGCCAAAGGTACGACTAGGCCTGCCGCCGCCACTGGCAGCGTCGCGAGCTTAGTAGGGGCTCTAAACTCAAATGCCTCTCTCTCTGCCTGTCTCTGGGCTCTTGCCTCCTCTGGCTCAAGGATAACTTTCCCCATAGGCGGCTCCTGGCGAGGCTCTGTCGCAGATGGTTGTCCTGACAATCCCTGTCCTGGCTGCTTCTGCTCTCTCTGCCGGCTGCTCTCTGGTCTGTCCACCTTTCCCTGGGTTTGCTGCCTCAGGCTCTCAATGATAGCTCACTGGCTGACCACCAAAGCCCTAAGTTCTTGAATTTCCACCTCCATAGCCTCCAGACGTACTCCATGGCTGGCTTCCTTCATTTTATTCCCCGCCAGATCGCCCTCCAATAACAAGTGCCGGTCAAAGTTGGTCTTGGCCAGGAACTTGACTTTACGATCTAACCTTTCTTCCGCCTTCCTGGCCACCCCAAACCCGGCTCTGACTGGCGATGGAAGCTCCTCTCCTCTCTGCTCCCAGAAGTCTCTCTACATTTCAGGAATCTCTTGGGCCTTGGCTGGCGCGCTGGGTGGCTGACCCGGGAGTACTCTTGTTGCCTCCGATCTCTGCCTCTCCTGCTGCTGCTCCGGGAGCTCCCCCGCTGCCTCCAACCTCTGCCTCTCCTGCCATATCTCATCTATCCGCCTGGTTCGTCTTGCCCTCTTTTCTTCGCCCGTCTCTCCAGCTGGCACCCTTTCCCTCGTGCGGAGGTTGACCCTCTTTGGGATTTCTGCTTCCATCTCCTTCTCGGGCTGGCATGACTTCTGGCGTGGCTCTGCAGGTGCTGGCTCCTCCAGGTCTGGGTGCTCTAGGGCATGAGCTGCTAGGTGCCTATCAATCAGGATTAAAGCTTCTCTCCTTACAACTGCCCTCTCTCTCTTCCTTTCTGCCCTCCCTTCTGGCGAAGGAGCCTTTTCTGACGAAGGTAAAGGGGTCTCCTCTCTCTGCAACCCCTCATTTGCCTGTCGGGTGCTCCTTGGTGCACCCCCGAGTCTCAAACCCACTGCTGGCGTCTGTGGGGGCGTGTCCTCTCCAACTTCTATCACTTCCTTCCCTGCACGTCTCCCCTCATCGCCCAGCCCTGGACCTCTTCCTGTGGCACCTCCTCCCGTGGCATCTCTTCTCGTGGTATCTCCCCCTGTGGCACCTCCTCTCGTGGCACCTCCTCTGCCTGCTCTCCATGCTCCTCACCTTGAAGCGACGCCCTCCACTGAGAAATGTCTAAATGCATCTCCAATTTCCTCAAGGGCCCCTCTGACGCTGGTGGCTCCCCCTGTGTGTGTGTTGGCGACCTCCTCAATCCACCCTCAGTAAAACGATGGAGCTCCACTGGCCCCAACCCACACTCAGGGTATGCCCCTCGCTCCTCATCCTCTGGCTCCTGCTCTCTCCTGGCTAGGGCCTTCCGTCCTCCTCGAGATGGTCTCGCCTCCCTGGGCTCAGGGTCCCTCGGCCTCTGACTCCTCTGCCACCTCTCGACTCTGGGCTGAGGGAGCTCTGACCGTCGAAAGGCCTCTCTCAAATGTGCCCYGCAGCTCTCCCAATCTCGTGCCATGTCCCTGATCTGCATAGCCAGTGGCCTTTCCGCCTTCCTGGTCCAGAGTGGTAGCGTCTGTATCCAATCATCTCTCTGTGCCCTGCTTTTGGATGAACCACTAAAATGCGGGGATGAAGTCCGACGCATTTCCAATCTCCAGGCGGATCAGCCTGCCATCAGGTCCCACATGCGAGGGTCGCAACTCCTCCATCCTTATCTCTACCTCCTGCCTCGCCGTCGCCTCCCAACGAATCCTGACAATGGGCTCTTCGAACCTACCTGCTCCCCAATCTCTCAATCGCCTGAGCGACGGTCCAGCCCATACGCCTCGCATGCTCCCAGAAACTGTCCAGGAATAGCTCGATGTCCCCATCATTGTAGACTGAAGTACTCTCTCGATGGCGAGGCCCATGCTGCTCATATCCTCCTGATGCGCCCAACGGCCTCTGAGGCGGCCCTGTCCCCTTCCCTCCTCTTGGCATGGCTGTCTTCGTAAAGTCAGACCTGCACAACAGGCGAAGGAGACAACAGACACACATTGGGGTAAGCAAGCAGGTGATAATCAGAGCAAGCTCAGACCAGACCACACTTATGCAGCATGCATCCTTCCTAACCTACACACCCTGTTACTTCTATTCTAAAGGCGGTCAGGTCATCTCTCTTACCTCTTCTCTCGCCACAAATTTCTTCAGTCGCGTTCCAGATACCCAATCCTTCTACTCAGTCCCATTTAGCTCCTCGATCTGGTACGTTCCGAAGTCTCCGACCCGTGCAATTCGGTAGGGACCTAACCATCTCTTATCGAGCTTCCTTAACCACTGCTTCTCCAGCGACGTATCGTAGAGAAGCACGACATCCCCGACTGCTAAGGGTACTTTCCTCACTCGCGCAGACTGATCCCATCGGGCCTTATCATCCATACGGCTTCTCGCCACCTTATCAGATGCCTCCTGGATCCTTTCTTCTATCGCCCCGACCTGCCGCGCCCGAATATCGAGTAACTCTTCAAATGACAGGTTGACTTCCAGATCCCGGCGCCTCCACGTCTTAAGAAAACTTTCGATAGGGAAGGTGGCATGCCTTCTATACCACAGCGTTGCAGGTGCGTACTTGGTGGATCTCTTTACTGTAATATTCTCGACAAAGAAAGCCGCCTTTAGGTATCTTGGCGATTGATTAGGCCTACCTTCGGTCCATTTGGCCAGGAGGTTCGTAATGGTATTATGTCCTCTCTCTACGGGAGCATTTCTCTAGGGGTGTGCGGCCGTGGTGTAGTTTGCACCTCCTGGCAGGTAAACTCTGATCCCCTGTCCATTACGAATTTCCTGACGAAGGGATAACGCAGGTAGTACTCCTCGATGCAGCTCACCAGGACTGACCCGGTCTTTGTGCGAATAGCACGCCCGTCTACGAACCCAGACAGGTTATCGCGCGCATCGAAGATATAGTTATAGCCCTGATCCCCAAGTGGCATAAAAAGCAGATCGAGATGCACTACGGCCCCTACCTCTCGCTCTAACCTTGAATGCAGCGGCTCTCCCTGCCTTAAACGAGATCTCTCCTGGCAGGGTACGCAAGATCGACAGAATTTCCCGACCATGTCCATCATTCCATCCCAGTAGTACAACTCACTTATCTTGGCATACATGACTTGTACCCCTCAATGCCCTCCTGCAATGCCATCGTGTAGTGCTGCTACGACGTCGATCTGACGATTCCTACCGCAGACGACCCTCCTGGGATTCCCCACTTCCCTTCTCACGAAAAGGTGACCGTCTCGCACTAAGTAGCGTTGCATCATCCTTTGAGACCTATCGCTAGCATCTCTTAGCCGCATTTCACATGACAGAAGAAGCCCCAGCTCTAGGTAGATCCCGTCGTACTCCTCTGCCCGAAAAGCCTCCTTAACTTTCCCTTTTTCGAACTCGTCGTCCTGGCTCTCGGGTATTTCGTCCACATTCCCTGTCGGGTTCAACGAGCCTGACTGGTCTAGGCTTTCCTGCAATAACGTATTGACGAGGAGATACATTCCTCCCATCAGGTCCTCATGCCGTTCTACCTGGCCAGGTCCTTCCTCAATCGTCCTCATATCCTCCACCAGGCTATGCGAGCTGGCCAACGCTAATTCCATCATCCACTGAACATCCTTACCGCCCCAGGGATCCTCTTCTTTAAAGGGCTTAAGGACTAACTAATTCCTCCTTTCATACCCCTTCGGCGCTTGCCAGATAGGATAGCCTACACAGCTGGGCACTCGCGGCGACCATTTGTTGATATGAAGACGAACATTTTCTTCCTGATCCAGAAATCCATCAACTGGGGGCGTATTCTCCACCACCTCCCCTTCCTGCTTATCCCAGTTGATCCGACTCAGCCCGTCCGCCCGGTTCTTACTACCAGGAATCCGTTCCAATTCGAAATTGAACATCCAGATGTACGTCAGCCGTCTGGCAATCGTCGGATCCGATGGAACGTAATTCCTTAGAGAGTAGGCCTGGGCGGTCGGATCCACTTTCAAAATAAACCTCCTGCCGAAGATATAATTCCGGAAGATTCGCAGACAATGAAGGACAGCAAGGGTCACCCTCTTGAACTGAGAGTAGTTCCTCTCCGTCGTACAGAAAGTCCGGCTCTTGAATCGCAAGGGTCTTTCCTTCCCTTCCATGTCTGTCTGAATTAGAACTCCCCCTAAGGCAGTCGGTCCCGCATCYGTCTCGACAATGAAGGGTCGCGTCTCTGTGGCGTCATAATCTGGCGCTCCTAACACCAACCCTCCTTCTCGAAATTCCTACTTCATTTTTGCTACCACCTTTTCTTTTTCTCACCCCATACCCATTCCTGATCCTGACGGACTAACTTCCTCAGGTGTCCAGTCTTAGCGGCAAAGTTCTTGACAAAGGCCCTCCAAAATCCACACGTACCAAGGAAGCTCCTGACATCAGTTATTGAGTGGAACGGAACTGGC